ATATATATATATATATATATGTATATATATATATATATATATATATATATATATATATCCCCGTTTTGTGTGATTGTGTCACCAAGAGAATAAAATTGAATGAACAACTTTTTTAAATTTTTGTTTTGATCAGTCCTGTAATATAGATGTCTAACCAAGGTGAAGCTGTAGCAATATAGCTCCACTGGGACCCAAGAACCAGGGCTCTATACATTTCTACAAAAATCCACTATGTTGATGTCATTTTTAACACAACCGGGGAATACTACTTAACCAGCTTTAGCTTTGTGCAACTGGTGGTTCCCCATCGTATACTAAGTAACAGCACCTATATATTCAGCTCATTATAATATATACAATAGACATGGGGTGCTACGTCTTATACGTTCAGTATAGGCACCTCAGCCAAACCTTCTTCCTCTGCCCAGTCTATTATCTTACAAAACACGAGAACACTTATGGGGGGGGGGGGGGGGTACTAGAACAGCAGTCCATGTCAAATCTTCCTCTCTTCCTGCAGGATAGATAGGTGCAAGCAAAATGCAATGCAAATTACATACTTTCAGCTTCCACATTTCAAGTGTCTCGAAAATAAAAAGTCAGCACTATGTCACAATTAGAGGGGAAGATTTACTAAAAATGCATAGAAACCAATCAGTTTCCAGGTTTTATTGTAAACGTTTAAAGGCAAGGTTCAACTTTATGAACATGTAACATGTTCAGCATGCATTCCCCCCCCCCCCCCATGACAGCAGGCAGGGGACGCTCTCCCCGCACCAACTGCCACAATAAGAAAATAGCATTGGAGCTCCACCCACACAGCGGCATCATTCATTCAAAGTTTCCTGTGAATGAACAGCCTACAAGTACCATCATTCATTGCGGCAGATGACTTGTAGTTCTCAATGAACTACGAGGGTGCTGGTGATTGTTCTTGTAGTTTATAGATGCAGTGTTAATTTTGATTTCCTTTTTTTGTCATAGTGATGACTAAGATGCCATTTAGTTTCAGACACAATTTTGTCTGAATTGTTTTAGTCTACTTTTAGTTAACTAAATATAGTATGATTTTAGTTGGCTAAATATACAGTAGATTTAGTCAAAGAAAACTGAATGGGTTTAGTTGAAGTGGTTGAAAGGAAAAAAAAAAAAAATAATAAACAACAAATATGCCTATACTTACCTGCTCTGTGCAATAGAATTGATCGGCCCCAATAGAGAGGCCCCAATCCTCCTCTTCTCGGGTCCCCTGTCAACACTCCTGGCTACTCCTCTCTTTCTGGTGCACCCAACAGGAAACCAGTTCCCATGGGGGCACTCATGAGGGCTCACTCCCGAGAGGCTTTAGAACCACTTTAAAGTGTAATACTTTAGTTAAGCAGTTCCCTAGATTTTCCAATCTTATTATATATTCCTGAAGTAAATATCTATTAACCTGTTATTACTTATGCTATTAACCACTTGTTATCCGTCCTATAGCAGAAGTACTGCTACAGGGCAGCACAGCTGCACAAAATCACTTATGTATACACACACATGTGATTTGCATTTGCGGGTACCTGCACTGGTATTAGCGGCTGGGGATGTCAATCATCGGCAAAGCTGAGAGGGGAGAGATCTGTGTGTAAACAACACAGGTCTCTCTCCTGTCAGCATGGACATGCTGCTTTGTATCTCTCTGTACAGCAGAAAGATACAAAGCAGCATGTCTCCCATGCAAAACAGCACACAGTTAACCCTTTGATTGCCCCAGATGTTAACCCCTTCCTGCCCAGTGTCATTAGTACAGTGTCAGTGGTTTTTATTAACACTGATCACCGTTTTAGTGTCACTGGGGATTTCAGTGGCAGTTAGTCAGTTCCCACCCAGTGTCAGAATGCCCGCCACAGTCCCGATATAAGTCGCTCATCGCCGCCATTACTAGTATAAAAAAAAAAGTAAACAATTCCAGTATATACACCGCCATTTGTAGACTTTCACGTAAACAAATTAATATACAATTATTGGAATTTTTTTTTAGCAAAGACATGGAGCAGAATACATTTTGGCCTAAATTTAATGAAGAAATTACAATTTTTTATTGGACATGTTTTATAGCAAAAAGTCAAAAATATTGTTTGTTTTTTTCAAAATTGTCAGTCTTTTGTTTATAGCGCAAAAAATAAAAACCGCAGAGGTGATCAAATACCACCGAAAGAAAATTTATGTACAGCGTTGCATGACTGCACAACGGTCAGTTAAAGTAATACAGTGTCGAATTGAAAAAAATGGTCTGGTCAGGAAGGGAGATAAAACCTCTATAGGGCAAGTGGTTAAGGTTTGAACAAACAATAGACACAGATTTAAGTCCAAAGAAATTAGTTGTGATTGGATCTCCTCACAATTCTTTCCTCCCTAACATTTTAGTCTAGTTTTAGTCAGTTGACGAAAATGTCAATAGATTTTTGTTACAGTCTTAGTCACCATAACTTATTTTTTCAGTGACTAACACTAGACTAAAACTAAATAAAAACTGTTATTGACTAAAACCAAATGGCAAAAAATTATTAGTTGACTAAATTAACACTTTATTGATCTTCCTGCTGTCAAGTAACTATCTACCTGTACAGGAAGTATGGGCAGACAGCTATCCTGAGAGTCTGCAGGAGCCTGGCATTGCACCTATGATCTGCAGATTGTGAGTGCAATGCTCTGCAGGCTACTTTAAAAAAAAAAAAAAAAAAATAGAATTCCTTTTTTTTACCTACAAAACTAAAAATAATTTTTTTTAAATGTACATTTATTATTTTTTTCAAAAGGTGAACCTATCCTTTAGCTGAACAAACTGAAGTTTGAAGCTGATTGGCTACAATGCACAACTGCACCAGATTCTGAGCGCTCCAGTTTAATGCCAGCCATACATGCGTCGTAATTCGACTGATTTTTTCGTCCGAAGAATAATCGGCAGATTTTTGCTCTGTTAGTGGATCAATGTCACTGGCCGATTTTCGCGATTCCTCCCCTTTTCGGTGGTCAGGCATATTGGAAAATTTGTGAAAAACTACCGATTTTCAACTCAATGATGGTCAAATCATATGATCGTTTTTCCGAAAAGAATAAGCACATGACCCGAGACCTGGAAGGAACAGAAGTTTCACCTGTTATATGGAGTGAACTTTATGACTTGGTCGGCCGATTTTCGAAATCATTGATGGCACCATTGGATTACCGAGCGAACAACATTTTTGATTTTCGGACGAAAAATCATTCAGAATTCGACCCATGTATGGCCTGCATTACCAAATCTCCTCCAGAGGTTTTTAGGAGTACTGAATTTCCCCTTTAGGAGGGAAGGAGACAGCCACCTGGAAATCCCATAACTTGTAAAGGATGATGAGCAGCATTAGCACAGCATGGCTGCCAAAGGCTGTGGCAATGGTTTCAAGGAAAGTGAGAGAAGTAATATTAAAAAAAACTGCACAAGGCCACAGAACCTTAGGCTGCAATTTTAGAAGGTCAGATATAGCCCCTCAAGGATCGCAGGCCTGGCAGCACTTGCTTCTACAACTCCAGCTGTTACTATAGCAATGAGAAACGACTGCACAGCAGTTCTTTCGAAGATTCGCAGTGATATGATATGTGGCAATTATCACGGGCTAATGCAGGAGGCTTTACTCCAGAGAAGGCAATGAATACCTAAAGACCAGCAAATTGTGTCCCATCATTTTGCTTTTGTTTACCCAACATTTTATATATCTTATGCTTTTGTGCTGCAGCATCTTGGGGCACTATAAGAAGAGTATATAAAAGGTATCTAAAGATTATTACAACAGGACGCAGTATGATGTTGGGGTTGCAGGAGGGACTAAAGCAGACAGCGGAGGACACATTATCTGACACCCCTAGAAGTATCAGATAACAGAAGTGCACAGAGCAATATTTCAACACACCAACTGCCAGAAAGTGGAGTACGCCTCTTCTTTTTCATGTTTCTCTGAGGAAGTGACAAGGTCACTTTAATATTCTGTCACTCAGAATCATCAGCTTAAATTTTAGATGACTTATTTTTGTTACAGTATAATGAGAGAGCCTCCTGGATATAAATTTCAAAGACAAAAGGAACATACAAGAACATGTACTTGTGACAGTAGAAGACCCGATCTAATAAAAGAGTATGATGCTGTAAGACGCCTGGTGACACAATGTGACAAAAGGACAATGGCGAATGTGCTTTGTCTATTCCGCTGCAGTACACCACACACCAATTATTCTTGTATGCCTCCAAACAAGCAGCTGACTTTCTCCGTTCTCATTGACACAGGAGTTATTTTAACCCTGTTCAGTACCAGATTTATGGAAACGGTAAAGCAACTACCTGGACCAACCTCATCCCTCCCCCATCTCTCACAAAACATCAGCAGCAACAACCACCCCCCGACACCCACTTAATAATCTATTGCTTTTACACTAAGTCTCAAATTCCTGATGTGTACATCAAAATACATTAAAAAACAAACATAAAACACATTTCACTAAACAAATGGAAAAAGAGCAGTAGGAATTAATAAAAAGGTGCAAACAAAAACAAAAAGGTGCCACACGGAAACAGACCAGAATAAGTCTACAGCTGGGCCCTACGCTTTAAACAATATCTCTGTAGCCATATAAAGGTTCATGCCCACGTACCCTGTAATACATATATATTTATATATAAATATTATTTTGCTTGTATTGCTAGAGACATTAGACGTCTCATGGTTAAAATGCAGGTGTGGTTCTTTCTCACCAGCCTGCCCTGCAGTTGGTCCTTAAATTTTCTCCTTTACCTCTTGTAAACAATAACCCTGGGGGGGTGAGAGGTCAAGGACAAATGTCTGTGCATGTCACCACTCTCCTCCTGCACCCAGGTTTGCGTAAAGTGTCTTGGTTCCTCTATCCCATGTATACATGCACACGTGTGCACGGCTGGATTCTTATGAAGCGGTTGCTTGTTCCAGGTATGAACAGTAAAGCAGGCTGTTCTATCCCTCCAGTTGCATGGCTGGCTCATATTCAGAGGTAAAGAGTTCCTTGTAGAGGGGAGGGAAGTGGTGTCTCACAATGTCTGGATATATTGCTTTAAACGCCATGAGTTTCTCCGTGTGACGACTACACAACGCACGTAGCGTGGAGACTTTGCATATTAACTAAAATATAAAAAACAAGGACTTGCATTATAAAGTAAATTCAAACAATACAGAGACAGAAACATGAATAGTCCCAGTAATTGTTCAAATAGCTACATATGACCCTATATATGACCAGCTAATGCAGATAGACTAGTGGCCTGGTTATGTGGCAAACCTGATGAATAGCATTTGTGTTGTCAGGTACCTATGTTGGATGAAAAGATTGAAACAAAAACCCTAACCTAAAAAGCTAATGGGGCTTTAAAAGGTACCATACCGTACCAGTACAAATAAAGTAAAACATGAAAGCAGTAGATAAAAATTAAACCCTTTTATTAGGTTAAAAAACCACCCATCGGTGGAAAAGTTTAGTCAGACATAGATACAAAAGGCACATAGTCAGACATGGACACAGAAAGGCATATCATTAAAATCAGCAAGGTGTGGCTATAGTAGGTGAGGGTTGATGCCCAAGACGTAAGGAACGTCACAGGCATCGGCGAACTACAGCCACTAACTTAGAGCAAGATAGACTCAACTGTACAGATAGTATATGGAATCGTAAATGGTTATCAGATGAAATATATACATATACAGCCAAAAACGCCCAACCATATGTTTTGTGGGATAAAACACACATCTTCAGGGAAGTGGGTTTTATCCCACGAAACGCGTTGGAATCTATAACGCAAAGCATTTTTCATGGTTTCAAGTGGATACTGTATTACCAGTTTCATCAACATCTATTATGTCCTATGGTTGGGCGTTTTTTCTCTGTATATGTATATATTTCCACTGATAACCATTTACCATTCCATATACTATCAGTGGAAATATATACATATGCAGACAAAAAATGCCCAACCATAGGACATAATAGATGTTGATGAAACTGGTAATACAGTATCCACTTGAAACCATGAAAAATGCTTTGCGTTATAGATTCCAATGCGTTTCGTGGGATAAAACCCACTTCTTCAGGGAAAGAGGGCAAAGTTTGCCCTCTTTCCCTGAAGAAGTGGGTTTTATCCCACGAAACGTATGGTTGGGCGTTTTTTGTCTGTATATGTATATATTTCAACTGATAACTATTTACCATTCCATATACTATCTGTACAGTTGAGTCTATCTTGCTCTAAGTTAGTGGCTGTAGTTCGCCAATGCCGATGCCCGTGACGTTCCTTACATCTTGGGCATCGACCCTCGCCTACTATAGCCACACCTTGCTGATTTTAATTATATGCCTTTCTGTGTCTATGTCTGACTATATACCTTTTGTATCTATGTCTGACTAAACTTTTTCCACCGATGGGTGGTTTTTTAACCTAATAAAAAGGGTTTAATTTTTATCTATTGCTTTCATGTTTTTACTTTATTTGTACTGGTACGGTAAGGTACCTTTATAGCCCCATTAGCTTTTTAGGTTAGGGTTTTTGTTTCAATTATTTCACTAGGGGTGTGGTACCAGTAAAACCGTTACACAAGGATTGGGAGAGTTATTTTTTTTCTTCTCCACCTCCCACTTTCCCCTTATCCATTGTTGGATGAAAAGACCTGGGCTGGAGTTAATACAATATGGACACTTTTTGAGAGATAACCTGTACGACTAAGGCTTTTTTTTTCTTTTTTTTTTACTTGTGGTCAGGAAGGCAACAAAAATATGAGGATGAGCTGTGGTTTTATTGCCCCGACCAAAAGCAGCCAGATGAAGTTATACACATGCAAATTCCGCAATGCAAAAATTATCCCCCTGTTGCATACTGCTACTGAACATGACCCACTTGGTAATCCCAATCAAAAAGCCTGTTCAATTCTCAAAGAAACAAAACAAATAAAAAAAAAAAAAAAAAACGCAGGCATTCAGGAGGAAGCAGTATTTCCTCCTGAATAACTGTCAATGTTTCAGCATATTTAAAGTGTTACTAAACCCCAACAATAAAATCAGTCTGTATATGTAGAAAAGCATGCTTGGTATAACTAATGTGGAACTGAAGGGATTTATCCTCCACGTTGTGTAAAAAGGCGGTTTGATCTTGTCTTCTCTGATCCTCCCCTTTTTCTACTGTCCCCAATCCATTTGCTGATAGAACAGAGCCTTAGGGGCAAGCTGTGCATGCTCAGATTGGCGTGTTTTGCTGTAGTGTTTTTTTTTTTTTTCTTGGAAGAGTGCATGTGACCAGCACAGGGCCAATCAGCACTGCCTAGACAGAGGGTCAGGGGTCCTGCAGCCTCATAGGACAATCAGGGGAGAATTAAAACTTCTCCTACAAGCTTTTTACCAGTGCTCTGCTTGACATTGATAGAAGTCACAAGACTGCTATATACTGCTGTTGAGAAAAGCAGTTTAAATTATCTAAAATAATTGCATTTCCATGTTCTGTGTACTGTGGGAGACTAGATATAGGGAATGCAGGGTCCTGGGTTTAAAAACACTTTAATAAAAAATATTTCAGGAGGACCGAAGTGCAGTACTTGCAGTACCCACTCTTGTCCCAGTCTGAAGTGAATTCTGTTTAGTTGCTATGGGTTGGTGTTTACTGAATAAGCCTGCTGAAGGATGTGACCTTACCTTGGTTAGAATTCCATCATCACGATGGTTCTTTTGAAGAACATGCTGCAGTGTGAGCTGGATTTTCTGCTGGAGTTTCTCAATCTTCAGTTTCTCCTGTAGCCATGACCGATCTTAGAAAAGTGGGATCATGAAAAAAAAAAGTTAATATTTGGCATAGAGAATGGAATAAAATGTACCACTGTCCAGCCCTCAACCATGTGGCTATGGCAATGACAAGGACAAAAATGTGTTATTCAAGTAATAAACACTTCAAGGTGCCTGTACATTGATTCTCTGTAATGTCCATTTGTAGTCATTTTTTATTTGTCACATTAGGATTAGAAGTGTTAGCACAGACTGAATAAATAGCTGTGACCAAAGAAATCTGCTGCAATTTCTGTAAATCAAGAGTAAGAAGTATGGACAAAGCTTTACTGGCTATACTTCTCATGGGTCACAGGAGTGCACTTACTTTTGTTCTCCTGTTACTCAGAATGAAATAATAGAAAGCCATTGTCCACTATCAGCTGATGTCACAAAGCTGCTCCAGGCTCTGGCAGGATCCCAACCATATTGTCAGGACCCACCCAGCTTCCTGGCTGACAGCTGGCTCCATCTCCAAGTGCATGGCTGAGCATACAGGTAAAATAAATAAAAATTATATATATATATATATATATATATATATATATATATATATATATATAATTTTTTTTTTGTTAACCCCCAAACTTCTCCTATGAAAGTAGTTTGCTAGGGGCAGCTTGTAAATATAGGAATTAAGCACCTCTTCATGCTCCCTACATTGCATCCACTACAGGCTAGTACTCCATTGTTTCAATGCAATGAATTGTGCTACTTATCATTTTCATCTAATCTGAACATAACATAAACCCATTATCATTTCTGAACGACTGTATTGCACATATGTGCATGAATTAAAAAGCAATGGGCTTTGTGCTTTGCTGGGTAGACAGAGACACTGCATGGCTTACAAAGATGACCTATATTAATAGAGCAGCATGGCACAGACACAATGTTTCTCAAGGTGTGATTCAAGGAACTATTTGGATGTCAGCAGTGCCCTCCAGCTTTAGAGACTTTGGCATAAATGTTAAACAGGTGATACTAAGACATTGGGAAAGACAGAAAACAATTAATTCAGTCCAAACTTTACAGCCAGCAGTTTAGACATCTGAATTTAAAGTGACACTAAACTCTGTTAAAAAAAAAACCAAAAACCAACCTTTTTTAAATACACAAATAGATTAGGTTCATTTTATTAAAAAAAAAAAAAAAATGCACATTTTTGACAGGTAAAAAATGTTTTATTTTTTTTTTTTTTTTATTGGCAGCCTGTAAATCATTGCATCTGCAATCAGCAGATCATGGATCCAATGTCAGTCTCTTACAGACTGGCAGTACACACAAAAGTCGTCTACCCATACGTCTGATACAGGCAGGCAGTTACTGCAGTCTAGGAAGCTCAATGGACTATGAGAGCGCTCACCATGAACCTCCCAGTTCACTGAGAACTACAAACAATCAGCCACAAAGGCTGACGTTACTTGTAGGCATCCATTAACAGGAAACTGTGAATGAAACATCGCTGTGTGGGCGGAGCCCCACACAGCAGAATTTTTTTTTTAAATTGTGACAGCGGGTGTGGGGAGAAGATCCCCACCCACTTTTACAGGAAGGGGGAGGAGGTTGCAGCTGCTGGAACACGTTACATGTTCCATCCTAAAAACAGATAACATGTTTCAAAAGGTGAACTATCCTTTAACTGAAAAAACTGCCTTCTATTGCTTTCAGCCTCCACCAAATTCTCCCCCCCCCCCCCCCCCCATTCTAATCCAATTTTCCTTTAGAGGTTGGATATGTCCATTCTCCATGAGCCTCCCTCTCTTACAGTGCGCATGACCACTACTAATGACCATTTCTAACAAACAGAAGAGAGGGGAAGAAGGAGAGGTTTGAGAGCTCACAGGGGATTTTACAAGAAGACAGAAAAACACTACAGACTACACGGTCATTAAGCAGTGGATGTGTATGGTTTATTTTTGAAAAAAAATCAATATCTTTTCGTGTCACTATAATGCAGGACATAGACGGTTGGTTTATCGGCCAAATTTTCATACGAAAGAATAATCGGCCGATATTCGCACCGTTAGTTAGCTGATTTTCATGGTTCCTCCTCATTTCTTTTATCGGTCATGCTGGAAAATTTACGAAAAACTGACAATTTTCGTAAGCATTGGTGGCAACAGAACGACCGATTTTTAGTTTTTCGGCCGAAAAACGAACTGTCTATAGCCTGCATAACCCTACTGCTGTCCAAGTTCTATGCACTGTGTTCTGTAAGGTATTAACATCCTCATCCACATCCTCACCTCCTGACATGAGCACAAAGGCAGAAAATAGAGCGATCTCATCCTCCGTCAAATGCAGAGAACACAAGCTTTTACCAAATTCGAATACAAAGCTCATGAAATCTTCACAACCTAAAAAAAAATAGACAACAATAAACACAAATCCACACAAACAAAAAAAACAATATACCAAACAGGGTTGCACTTATGATTTATGCTGTGAACAGATTTAGTATAGGAAAACCTCAAGGCCCCTTGCTTCATAATTTACTGTGACATTTGTGTGCAAGGGGCCAAAAACTGTGTAAACACCAAAGTAATGTCTATATGCGTACATAGGGGAGTAAAGGTGTGTAAGTATTCAGAGAAGTATAGACGAGTAAAACTCTTCTTCATTGCCAGTATTGTGGCCCCTTGCACATGGGCATCACAAGTTTCTGAGTAAACATCAGTAAATTATGACACTTGTGTGCAAGGACCTAAACGAGTAAACACACAAGTAAATGACTGCACTCAAATGTAACATTTTTGATTTTTGTTTTACTTCTCTGTACTCATCGCATTATGACTGATCTTTACTCACCTGCAGTGGCGGACTGACCATTTGGAAACGCGGGCCCGGGGTCAGTAGGGGGCCCCATGAGATGCCCCTGTACCTTTTACATAGGCTTTTTTGAGTTTGGGCAAGGACACAGGGGCCCCATGATCCCCTATTGCCCGGGGGCCCCATGAGTTGTCAGTCTGCCCCTGCTCACCTGTGTGCAATGTCCCATGGACAACAATGCATTTCATTTCAGATCAGTAAAAAAAAGTATTTTTACTCCTGTGTGCAACAGGCCTAACAGTAGACCACTCTTATTTGCTAAATTTTGACTATTAAATAAATATTAAAGTATTTACTACAGTGCCTTGAAAAAGTATTCATACCCCGGAAAATGATCAAAGCTTAGGATATTTTTTTTATACCGTAACCCTGCTTTAAACTTCTCTACAACTTTATCCCTGACCTGTCTGGTGTGTTCCTTGGCCTTCATGATGCTGTTTGCTCACTATTGTTCTCTAACAAACCTCTGTGGACTTCACAAAATAGCTGTATTTATACTGAGATTAAATCACACACAGGTGGATTCTAATTACTAATTAGGTGACTTCTGAAGGCAATTGGTTCCACTAGATTTTAGTTAGGGGTAGCAGAGTAAAGGGAGCTGAATACAAATGCATGCCACTTTATTCAGATATGTATTTGTAAGAAATTTTTAAAACCATTTATCATTTTCCTTCCACTTCACAATTATGTGCCACTTTGTGTTGGTCTATCACATAAAATCCCAATAAAATACATTTACGTTTTTGGTTGTAACATGACAAAATTTGGAAAATTTCAAGGGGTATGAATACTTTGAGGCACTGTATATAAATTTAGGTGCACAAAACTCTGTTGATTCTGTCAGAAATCCTGTGAGCTGATCCAATCCTGTTTTCTCTGACCATACTGACATTAATCAATTAGCACAGTTCCCAGCCTTTTCTGCTACAAAACAATCTCCCCGTGTTAAGGCGACAACTCTGTTCTTTAATAAATACAGCGGTGTGAGTGAGCGTTGTCACCCTAGGACAGGAAGTGTGTTACTGGCAAAATCACGAGGTGAAAAAGGAATAAAAAAGAGCCTAGAAAGAAAACAAATAGAACCTCAGCTAAATTACCCTCTGTTACCTGGACAGATTGGGAATTTTTTGTCAGAAGTGTACTGCTGTTTTCCCCCCACTGGACAGTCTCCCCCCTCATATCCCGTCCCAGTGTGTATAGTCACCATAACGGGTGGAACATTTCTCCAACAAAATACATTTTTAGTGTGCATGTGGGAGGGGTAGCTCACCTGTCAGAATGTTTATTGGTGCTGGCTTCCTGGCTGGGGCAATTTTCATCAATTCCTGTCTCAGGGATTGTTTGTGAACAGGACAGGAAGTGAGTGGAAATCTCTTTACTGGGGATACATCAGCAAAAATATGAAAAGGCTTCTAAAGCCTTAGGCTACGTTCACACTAGCCTTGTGTGCAGGCGGCAGAGAGGCGTTTGAGAAGCGTTTTTACCGCTTCCCAAACGCCTCCGCCAATTCTGCACATTACAGCAGATGGTGCTGTTCTAATGGGAGCATTTGCATCGCGTCGCGGCAAAACGGACGCCTCTGGTCGAGTCAGGAGGCTTTGAAGGTGTTTGCTGTGCGGTTGCGACGCGGTTTGCGGGGCGTTTGCGGAGCGGTAACACACCACTCAAACTGCATTATAGACATTTGTGGGGCGTTATTAACGCTCGGCAAACGCCTAGCAACCGCCGCTAAACCGCGCATGCGGCGTTTGCGGGGTGTTTGCGGAGCGTTAAAAACGCTCCGCAAACGCCGGACCAACGCTTGCCAAATGCTATAGGGGCGTTTGGCAAGCGTTGGCAAAACAGCCTAGTGTGAACGAGCCCTTAAGGTTTTTTTTTACCTTAATGCCTTCACTGCATGGAGGTAAAAAAACAAAAAAACAAAACGTCTGTGTCCAGGATCGGGGGGGGGGGGGGGGAACCTAGACATGGAAGTTTTTTTTTTTTTTTTTTTGCTGCTGTCAATCAAATCCTACGACAAGGGAACAGGGGATGAGGCAAAGCTTGGGAGCGAGCCTGCACGAGTACCCCCCCCTTAGCAAGTGGCTTGCTTGAGGGGTTACTCGGAAGTAGCAGGAGCCAGGAGCACCAGTGGGGGACCTCAGAAGAGGAGGATCGAAGTTACTCTGTACAAAACCATTGCACAGAGCAGGTAAGTAGAACATGTTTGTTATTTTAACAAAAAAATAAAGGTTTAAAATCACTTTTTAATCATTAATCGTTAATCATTAAAGGTTAAAGGTTAATCATTCCAAGTTCAATCAAAAACAAAGAGAAATTGCTTGGAATTACACTTAAAGAGTTTTAATACCAAAAGTATTTGAAATAAATGTGTGGCCGCAGTCCTTGGCTGTGAGGTTTTTTTTTTTACTTCTTACATTGAGAATTTGTTGCATGCTCCATTCTACCTTGAATAGCTAATACAAAGCTGAAAGGCTGACTGGCATACATGACACGGGACATATACCACTGTGCATTATGAAATACTTGCCAAGTGACTTGAAGACTTCTATGCCTGCATATTTGCCATCAAAATATACGGTGTTGTTTTGTGAATCAAAGGCACGACACATTCGGATGAAAACAACTTCTAAGGAACCTGTAGGAGTAGAATACACATGATACACATTGTAATATAGACTGGATTAAAGTGACAACATATTGAATAAACACTTGAAGTCCAGGGCAATTGTTTAATTTTACACGCATGTTAAAATCTACCTAATCTATCCAATCAATCAATTTGTATCCGATCAGGCAGGCCATTGCACTACATAGTTCTGGATAGATTTAAAGGAGGTTGTACAATCAGATGTGATATGTGTGATGAGCGTTAAACTTTAAGCCTTATGAACAGTGCAAGAATTTAAGTGCAGTAACCCATAGCAACCAGTCAGAAATAACTTCACTGTATGCTAGAAGTTCATAAGACCCTTAAACTATTTTCCAAATTACAGTTCATCCACAGATTAAAACAAAAAACCACAAATTAACCTTTGTATTCATTAACACACTGCTAAATGTATTATTAATTTTGACTAGTGTAATTCCCTGATTTTGACTTGGTGTCGGCCTCGTACAATCCACTGTACAGTAAAGCTTAGGCTGGGAAAAATAGCACCTGCAGCCAATTAGTTGTGCTACAGTACTTATGTACTAACAAGGGATAAGTTGATAGGAGTAAAGAGCATAGTGACCGTGAGATGAGCTCAACAGTTTGCTGCTTCTCTTTCACTGTCCAGTTACAGTAAGGGGAGAAGACCTGTAAGGGTTATATACCTTCAGAAGAAAAAAAATCAGGTCTTTTTTCCAGGCAGATAGAGCTTAGCGAATCTCGGGACTGGTTAGATAAACATACAAATCTTTTGGTAGGAAAAGGTGCTCCCTAGATACATTTTATCTTTGGATTTAACCATTTTCTTGGAGATTTAATGCTGTAAATCATTACTTAGCCCTCATGCACACTGGACATTTTGATAACGCTGGTAACATTAGCTGTGTAAAGTCACGTTAAAAATGTGAGTTTTTCAGCTTTGTTTAGCGTTTTTACATTAGCGTTTAGCGGGTTTTTATCGTGTTTAGCGGTTTTTACCCATGTGTGCAGTTCTTAAGGTTTTTTTTGTCAAAACCGTGTTTAGCAGTGTTTTCCCACATGTGTGTTTTTTTAGCCTTTTATTGGTCAAAAAAAAAGTCCAAAAACGCCGGTTTGCGGCGGTTTTTTTTCAGCGTTAGAGCATTTTTCTAGCCAAAAAACGTTGATTACAGTCTATGTGTACATGGACACATAGGATAACATGCTGGGGGGGGGGGGGGGGGGGGGGTTTACTGGCTGCAGAAAAAAATGTCAAAAGTTAAAAACAGCCGCTGTAAAAAACATCCAGTGTGCATGAGGACTAAAACAGTATGCATTTCAAATGTAAACATTCTGTACACTTCAGCTGTTGATTTCACTTTTTAAACTTCATCTTTGTGTTTACCTGCTTTTAGCAACACTATCTGATCATTCTGACAAAGCTCCATGAACCCATCAATGCGTTTGGCAAATTCCACCACATACTGAATGGCCTCTGTTATTTTCACTGCACAAAGCTGCCACATCACTTCTCGTTGCTGTAAAGGAAAAGCAAAAAGAAATTTACAACTCAGAAGTCTTCCCCACAGAGAAGAGTTAGGGTTTCAAACCAGAATGTAATACTTTACTCTAAAAGGGGCAGCAACATTACAATCAAAGCCCAACTCCAGGTACAAGAAAAATGACCCTTGCAGTGGTAATGCCAAGTCTAGGCGTCCAGACTAAAGGAGTAGTACGGACTTCACTCCTCACACCTGTTGACTTCCTCTCTAAAGTGAGCCGGCACGGTTGCTTACCTGCATCCACATACAATGCAAGATTAATTGTCCTGCACTGTACGTGT